TCAGGACCTCTGGAAGAGCAGTCAGTGCTTTTAACCACTGAGCCATCTCTCCAGTCCCCTAAGCACATGCTCTTAATTCTGCCCCTGTTCTACATTTTGCAATGAAAATGCACATGACCATGTAGTGTTCTCATTCAGCCATGGAGGGTCAGCCCCAGCTCTGGGAGTTGAGGAGCACTCTTTGAAGGATCAGGAAGAGTTTGTGAAAGAGGTGCTGGCAGGTGGGGGATGGGGAGGACATGGGCAGGTTTTGGAAGGTGGAAATGGGGGCTGGAGAGAGCATCTCTGATCCCAGGACCTCTTTCCTGTAGGTGTATATTATTGGTCACGTGCCCCCAGGGTTCTTTGAGAAGACCCAGGACAAGGCCTGGTTTAGAGAGAGCTTCAATGAGGAGTATCTGAAGGTGATCCAGAAGCACCATCGTGTCATAGCGGGGCAGTTCTTTGGACACCACCATACTGACAGCTTCCGAATGTTCTATGACAACACAGGTATTCCATCCTGAGGGAACTGGCCACCTGCCAGCCTCTTCTTTCCTTACCGTTTTTTTCAGCCTGCTGTCTTTTTCCCCTGAAGGTGCCCCCATAAGTGTCATGTTCCTCACACCTGGGGTCACGCCATGGAAGACCACATTACCTGGAGTGGTCGATGGGGCCAACAATCCAGGGATCCGCATTTTTGAGTATGATCGAGCCACACTCAACTTGAAGGTTAGGAGTCTGGGTCTGCTGGGTTGGGAGAATCTAAGCCTCTTGCCACCTTTCCTAACCCTCAGTAACCCACCTGCTACTGACTGCTAGTTAGGGTTTCATTGCCGTGAAGAGTCACTTTGATCAAGGCAACTCTTATAAAGGACAACATTTAAGTGTGGCTGGCTTACAGGTTCAGAGGTTCAGTCCATTTATCATCGTGGTGGGTGGCATGGCAGAGTCCAGGCAGACATGGTTCTGGAGAAAGAGCTGAGAATTCTACATCTTGATTGAAAAGGGCAAGAGACTCTCTTCTGCACTGGACAGAGCTTGAGCACTAGGAGACCTCAAAGCCTGCCTACACAGTGACACACTTCCTCCAACACGGTCACACCTATTCCAACACGGCTACAGCTCCTAATAGTGCCACTTCCCATGAGTCAACTATATTCAAACCACCACGGAAGGGAATCTTGGTTAGAACCTTGGAGCCACCTGCCACCAAATCAGGTCTATTGTTTCCCCAAGCCTGACCTTGCCCTGGGTTACTATGACTGCCTGGTCTCCCTGATGCCACATCCAGAAGGGATTCATCTTCCCAAAACATTGACTTCACTTTGCCTCTGTGCTGCTCACAAACCTTAACGATCTCCCAAGTGCCCTCAAGATAAAATTGTCTCTCCTGAGGCTGATATGGAAGATTTCTTACAGTCCGAGTTCAAGCCCATTTCCTCCCTCCATTCACCAACTAGCCCGCAGACCCTAACGCCTGAACACTTCATCACCTCCTAGAATGCACTGGGATTGTTGAAATGGCGAAAGAGATGCTACTTCATTCATTCAACAGAATGTCCTAAGCTTAGGCCACACACCAGGCTCTGCCCAAAGCTTAGGTGATGTAGAACCAAACAACAGAATAACCTCTCTCCTGCACCAAAATCCCTACAGGAGGGTGACAGTAAATAAATACATAAAATTTAACATGGGAGACAGGAAAGGCAGGGTGGTAGCTGGGCCTGCAGGCACAGGACTGTAATACCAGGCACTTGGGAGGCTGAGGCACAGGACTAACATTTAAAGCCAGCCTGGACCACATAGTGAGTTCAAGACCTGACAGGAACTTAGCAAGAAGACCCTGTCTCAGAAGGGGTATGGAGTGGGGGGTGGGGGGTGGGGGAGTTGTGGCTGTAGCTCAACAGCAAAGTGATTAGGGAGGGAGGGAGGGACAGAGGGAGGAAGGAGGGGGAGGGGGACTGATGGTTTGGGAGTGAGTGAGCTGTTACATCAGTGGGACAAGGGAAGTGTCCTAAGTAAGGAGCATTTGAGTCCTGTGTAAACTGAGTGAGGCAGCCGGGTTTGTAGGGAAGGTAGAGGAAGAGCAAGGCAGATGCCCAGGGCTGGGAAGTGGCTTGGTGTTTTAGAGGAAGAACATAGAGGAGGGTGGAGGACACGAGGCCAGGCCAAGGTCTGGATCTGAGGAGCTGAGGACAGAAGAACAAACTGTTCTGATACACGGTTTCACAAAATCACCTTGTCTGATGGGCAAAGAGCAGACTGCTGGGACCGAGGTCTGGGAAGTAAGGACACCAGCTGCCAGAGGGTGGTGGCTGGGGCCAGGCTGCTGAGATACATACATCTGAGCCTGAAGGTAGTTCAGAGGCTGAGGAGCCAGAATTTGTTGGCAGATGCTTGGTACAACCTTTCTTTTTCAATTTCAATTTTTAAAAAGATGTGTTTTATACATACACACACACACACACACACACATAAATGTGAGTACACTGTAGCTATCTTCAGACACACCAGAAGAGGGCATCGGATCCCATTACAGATGGTTGTGAGCCACCATGTGGTTGCTGGGAATTGAACTCAGGACCTCTGGAAGAACAGTTAGTGCTCTTAACCGCTGAGCCATCTCTGCAGCCCCATCTTTTTAAACTTTTAATGATTATTTGTTTAATGTGCATTGGTGTTTTACCCTCATGTATGTCTGTGTGAGGGTGTAGGATTCCCCTGGAACTGGAGTTACAGATAGTTGTGAGCTGCCATGTGGGTGTTGGGAACTGAACCAGGTCTTTACTGGTTCTTTTACTGCTGAGCCATCTCTCCAACCCTGATACATCCTTTCTGCCTCAGTCTCCTGAGTGCTGGGATTACAGCTATGAGCCACAGTGTCCTGCTTGGTCTGGGGGATGGGGGTCGGATTGGGGGACTGAGCTAGGATATAAACTAGGTTCCTCAGAGTTGTGCACAAGTGCCCTTGGGAGGGATGGCTCAGTGGCTAAGGGTATATACTGCTCTTGCGGATCACTCCAGTTTGGTTCTGGCACCTGTATCAGGCAGCTCACGACTGCCTGTAGACTCAGTCCCAGAGATCCTGACACCTTCCGCTGGCCTCTGTGGGTACCTGCACATTTGTGCAAATACTCTACCTCGAAAAATTAAAAACCAAATTGTAGTTAGGTCCTGGTTCTTCCTCCCAACCCCTTGCTCCCAGAAACAATACTCAGACTCAAGATATATTTACAGATACCTTGGCTGTATAGCTAGGCTCGTCTCTGACTAGATATAACTTAAATGAACCCATTTCTTTTATTCAACATTCTGCCACAGGGCTGGTTGTCTGTGCTCAGGCACTGTGTGACTTGCCTTCTAACATCTTCCTCTGTCAAATCTCCAGCATTTGTCTCTATCCCAGAATTCCTTCTGCCTTCCGGATGTCCCACCTTCTATTCTACCCCTCCTATAGGCTGTAGATCTTCTAATTGACAGGTGATGCACCCATACAATACACAAGATATTCACCTGTACATCAAATAGATCTTTAAAGATTTATTTATGTATGTGAGTACACTGTCACTGTCTTCAGACACACCAGAAGAGTGCATCGGATCCCATTACAGATGGTTGTAAGCCACCATGTGGTTGCTGGGAATTGAACTCAGGACCTCTGGAAGAACAGTCAGTGCTCTTACCACTGAGCCATCTCTCCAGCCCCCAAATCTTTAAGAAGTACTCTTAAACACAAAGCCATCTCTTATCTTCCTCCTTTTTTTTTTTTTGGTTTTTCGAGACAGGGTTTCTCTGTGTAGCCCTGGCTGTCCTGGAACTCACTCTGTAGACCAGGCTGGCCTCGAACTCAGAAATCAGCCTGCCTCTGCTTCCCAAGTGCTGGGACTAAAGGCGTGCGCCACCACCGCCCGGCTGGCCTGAGGATTTTTAAGAGTGTGTCCTGTTGTCTACCCTCTCCACTGTTTCCTCTGTCTCCTGGAAGTCACAGTACAAGAGAGGACTTAGTGCAACAGTGCCGTGCACCTGGCACGTGCAGTTCCCACCCATTCACCCAGCTCCTCCTACCTCTCTATCCAAAGGCACTGTTGAGTTCTAGAGGGTCTTGTTTGAATGGGAAACCCTTATTCAGCCACAATTCTATAACATCTTCCAGCCAGGCAACCCTCACCCCTACCCCGCCGTCCTGCTGCCGCCATTTTTACTCCCCTTCACTCTGTGAAGATTTCCTGAGCATTAGAGTTTCTGTGAAGAGCGTGTGGTGCCTGCCAGTTTGGCAGGGGTGAGCGTTCTGGGTCCTAATCCTGCCCTCCCCCTGAATGCTTGCAGTCTCTGAGAAGGTAATGTTACTTTGCAATGCTGTGATTATAATACCAACATCACAGTGTTTAGAGCTTTCTACTCCATTCTGGTGGGGAAGGCATGGAAGTTAATGGTGGCGAAGCACGCGGCCTGTGTCAGGGACCCCTCATCTCACCCACCATTGAGCAGGATCCAGAACCAGCTTCAGAGGTTTTCTTTTGCCAGCTGGAATCTACTATCTAAAACTGCTACAGCCAACCAAAATAGTGCTACTGGTTGGGGAACAAACATTCAAAATGAGCCTGTGGGGGCCACTTCAGATTCAAACCCTAACAACCTCGTTAGGCCTCCATGTCCTCACCAGGAGAATGGGGGTTCACATGCAGTTGGAACCAAGTGCAGGGTAACAAACAGCAGCTGTTTGATCGATCTAGAGAGGCTGGGGACAGGTTGGGTTGTGGGCAGAACTAATCAGCTGCTCATTGCTGACATACCCTGTGCCTCTAATCCAGGACATGGTGACTTACTTCTTGAACCTGAGGCAGGCGAATGTACAAGAGACCCCACTGTGGGAGCAAGAATACCGCCTGACAGAGGCCTACCAAGTGCAGGATGCCAGTACCAGCTCCATGCACACGGCACTGACCCGCATTGCCAACGAGCAGCACATCCTGCAACGTTATTACATCTATAACTCGGTCAGCTACAACCATCTGACCTGTGAGGACATCTGCCGCACGGAGCATGTTTGTGCCATACAACACGTGGCTTTCAGCACTTATGCTACCTGCTTGCATGGTCTTAGTGCCAAGCTGGTGCCTGGTTTCCTGCTCATACTGACTCTGCTGCCAACCCTGCACGTATTGGAGGGGCTATGACTGTAGGCACTGCCAGCTCACCCTCTTACTAGATTCATCTTTCTCCCGGTAAAATTGGGCAACATTACCCGATGGAGAGATGAACTTTGCCATCCATCTCCGGTGTCTGGAGAGGAAAGTGGGATCGGACATTTAGATTCACCAGAGAGGGCGCTAAGAAGCACATTGCTTCCCAAGTTTCTCGTTTTATCCACAAAACTTGTTTGTGGTACATGTCTTGGTGCATTATTCCCTTTAATACAAATATATCAAACTACCATGCACTTGATCACCACAGTAAAGTGAGCCAGCAGGAAGATGGGCCCTGGAGATTCTGTGCTTTCGATGTAGTCCCTCCTCAAGGTCTGAACTGGAAACCCACCACGTGATCTGCAAAGCCCCTTGGTACTTTTAAATAAAAGACTTTTCTGATTTGGTTTCTCAACAGTGCAATCCTGAGGGATTACACCTGCGGCCCGGACTCTAGGCTCTAGTCTTGTGGCTACTCTTGTATCCTTGAGCAGCAAAGGCAGAATCTAAACCAGTAGAAGCCGGGCTCTGGACAAAGGGTCGGGGGGCGGGGTCTGGGTCGTGGGACCGGCTTGGGGGCGGAGTCACGAACTCGCTCCTCCCCGGACGGGGCGAGATGTGGAAGTTCCGCCCAGCAGCCCGGCCCCCGGGAGGACTGCCCCACCCCGCCCTCTTCCTGCCCGACTAGCCAGGCTGGAGGGCAGACCCGCGGTTGTGAAGTTGCCTGGAACGACATGCCTCTGTCCGTGCACCCCCATGTTGCCTTAGACGTGTTCGTAGCCCTGGTGAATGCCTTGTCTTTCCTGTTGGACTTGGTCGCCGACCTTTGGGCCGTCGTCCAGTACATGCTCGTTGGCCGTTACCTGTGGGCCGCGCTGGTACTGATGCTGCTGGCCATATCCTCGGTGCTGCTACAGCTCTTCAGCTGGCTCTGGCTGACAGCTGATCCCACCGAGCTGCACCACTTAAAGCCCTCGCGTCGTTTCCTGGCTCTGCTGCATCTGTTGCAGCTCGGCTACCTGTATAGGTGAGTGCCCGGCCCGTTTAGAAAAGTGGGTTGACAGCCGTCAGAGCCAGCTCAGTCTTCCCCTGGGCGTAGGTGAAAACACAGGTCCAGGAAAAGAGGAGCATCAGAGTCCTGGAGTCAGAGATACCCCTTAACCTTTCTTTTTCATTTCTGTCTTTTTCTGTGAACATTTGCTTCCCCATCAGGGACCGAAGGGGGTCCTGCTTGACTCGTTTGTGTCCCTGGAGCCAGCCAGGACTGGACACAGACTGGTTCTTGGAAAATGTGTGTGGATTGTGTGCTTTTTTGAACTGGGTAGGACCCAGGTTCAGTCTGAAGGGAGGACAGTGAGAAAGTCCCTGGCACAGTGCTGGCCTGAGAACTAACTTTCTCTCTCTCTCTCTCTCTCTCTCTCTCTCTCTCTCTCTCTCTCTCT